CCCTCCGCCCCCGTCCCACCAGCCTGGACCCAGGCCAGGGTCCGCTGGGCTCTCCCCCCCCCACTGCTGCAGAAGCAGGGCCACATGGCCAAATGCTGGGTGGCATGGCAGAAGGCAGAGGGGGCAGGGAGGGGAGTTATTCTGCCCTCTACCCCCACTGCTCCCAGGGGACCGCAGCCAGAGTCTGCTCATCCCAATGGCCACTGCTGCTCACTCCCTGCATGGAGCAAGTGGTGGGATCAGCCCCTCCTGCCCTTTCTGCCAGATGCCAGAGGGAGGGGGAAATAAGCCCCTTTCCTGCCCCCCACCCCAGCTAAGGTGCCCTGCTGGCCAGCCTCTGGCCCCGTCCCCACCCCTGGAGTAGTGAGGGGGGAGTGCCCGTGATGGGGACTGCAGACCCTGTCATGGTGTCCCAGAGTGCAAGCATCTTCCCGGTGGGGGGTGGGGGTGTGCTGTGGGCAGGGGAGGGGATAGGGGTGGGGTCAAGAAAGCTGCCACAGATGAGTGGTAGCAGTGGTGCTAGGGAGGACTGGGGGGTTATGGCTCCGTCTGATCCCTGGTGCTGCCACTTACCACAGTCCATGGCAGCTCTGACCCCCACTCATGGTCCCCCCTGCTGGGAAGAGCCTTGAACTCCCTGAACACTGCTGCTGCCCAGACAGGGCCCTGCCCCTCGCCACTCCAGCAGCAGGGCAGAGGCTGTACAGATGCCGGCTAGCAGGGCTCCTTAGGTGCAGGGGCAGGGAGGGGGGTTATTCCCCCTCCCTCTGGCATCTGGTGGAGGGGCAGGAGGAGGCTTATCTCGCTGCTGGCTCTGCACAGGGAGCCAGCGGCAGCAGCAGCAGTCAAGGCGGGCAATCCACAGCTATGGTCTCTTGGTGGCAGCAGGGATAGAGTGGGAAATAACCCACCTCCCTGCCCGCTGTGCCTTAGGGGCCATGGCAGCCAGCATTTGGCCACATGGCCTCACTGCTGCAGCAGCAAAGGGGAGCATGAAGTAGACCCCAGCTCAGGTCCGTGGCCAATTCACCCCAAGCTTGTGCTGGGGCTGCCCACACCCCTGCCACTGGAGTAACCAGAGGAGAAATGCAGGTACCCATCAGTGGGACAGGGGAGAGAGGGGGGAAATAAACCTCTTCCCTACCCCATTCTGGTGCCAGCGTCTAGCCAGGCCTCTGCCCCTGCCCATGCCCCTGCCTGTCCCTGCTCCAGCTGGGGAGCAGAGGGGCAGGGCCAGCCCTGCTGGGCTGGAGCACACAGCCCAGCCCAGAGAGTATGCCAAGATGCTGGGGGACTTTGGTTTAAGTTAAACCAGGAAAGGGTCTGGGCCACAAGTTGCATAAACCAGTCTGAGCTCAATCAGTTAAGTCTGATACTACATTCAACCAGGTTTATCTCAAACCAGTTTTGGCCACTTCAAAACTGGTTTATGTGCACTGAACTTATGTTCTGTTACAGGTTTCAACCAGTTTCTGATCACTTAAACCAGTTTATGTGTAACATCTGTCCCTAGCTTGGAGCTACCAGACCACCGGGGAATAATGAATAACCCTAACTCAGCTTCCCCTTGTCTTGTAACGTACTCTGTAGAAGGATTAAGTGTAGCTGAATAGCAAACATGAAGGGGAGAGTGGAAGGAAGCGATCATGTAGGGAGGCGAGGCTCCAGAGGGTCGTCAGACTAATCTGGGCCCCAAGCCAGGAAGTTTTTCTGTTTCGTTCTCACTACTGCTATATCACAAACCCTTGGAAAACAGACCTTGCTGACTCACTCTGTTGAGTCATTCCTGAGCCTTAGGCTGACCCTTTTCATCATCTCCATATAAACCAATTCATTATCCACATTATCCTAATTTTCATAAGGTCTCTTTTATCATTAGCATCATGCAGGCCTCATTACATAAAAATGCAATGGCAGAAAGCAGTGTCTAGTAGGCATGTGTGAAGCGGCAAGTATTCACTTCAGATTTGGATTCAGATTCGGCTGATTTGGAAGGACAGTGATTTGATTTGGAGATCTGAATCATTGTCCTGATTTGATTCAGCCAAATTGGATCTGAAGATTTGGCGTTGCTTTGGAGATTCAGCCATAGACTAAACAGGCAGCAGTCCTCACCACGCTGGACACAGATGCCTCCAGCTAGTAAGTCTGTTTTGCTTGGTGGAGGGGGGAGGGAAGGGGTGGAGGGGGGGCAGATCAACACCCCACAGTGAGGGAGGGATTGGGGCTGGGCCTGGGGCTGGGGCTAGGACAAGCTGCCCAGCCAGGGTGGGGGGTGGGACTCAGGGAGGAGGGCAGGGCAGCACAGGATGTGGGCATGGCAGAGGTGGGAGGGGGGCTATGCCCTGCTGTCGCTTGCCCAGTCAAGGCAGGGGAGGGCGCAGTGCAGCTCACTGTAGGAGGAAGGGGGCAAGTGGCAGCAGGGAATAGCCCCCCCTCCCAGCGCAGCTGCACCTGAATCCCGCACACCCCCACCCCAGCTGGGTAAGCAGCAGCAGGGCATAGCCCACTGCTTGCACAGCCAGGGTTGGGGGGCACGGGATGTGGGCACTGGAAGTGGGGTCTATGCTCTGCTGCTGCTTGCCCAGCCGGGGCAGCAGGGCGGGATATGGGTGCAGCAGAGCTGGCAGCAGGGGCTATGCCCTGCTGCTGCTTGGCCCCTACCGCCTGGAGTGAGCTGCACCTGCATCACGCCCCACCCCTGCCCCGGCTGGGCAAGCAGCAGCAGGGCATAGCCCCCGTTCCCAGGGCTGCTGCACTCGCATCCCATGCCTCCCCGCCCCCTCCTCTCCACCGAGTCCCAGGCCCTTCCACCCCCGCCAGGCAGCTTCTCCCAGCCTCAGCCCCAGCCCCAATCCCTCCCTCGCTGTGGGGGCATTGATCTGCCCCCCCAAACCCCTTCCCTCCCCCCACGACAACAGACTTACCAGCTGGAGGACTGCTACCCGTTTAGTATATGGCCAAATCTCTGAAGTAGCTCCAAATCTTTTCCGAATTGATTCAGAGGCTTCTCATTGGATTCAGACTTTTTAATTGGTCTCCCAATTTGATTCAGATTTAGAGATTCGGCCGCTGAATCAGGCTGAATCTCCTCCAAATCGAATCTTCGCACAGCCCTAGTGTCTAGTCCACCTTGAAGGCCAAAATCCTTTATTTACCCAAAGAAAATATGTTTTATTGGAAAATTTCCAAATAGCTCTAGTTAACACCTCCAGTCATTTCAGTACAGTCTTTAGTGCCTATTCACATTTTTGAGACTGCTAAAAAATCCTGCTTGGTGCTGATTTTTTAGAAGTTATACAGGTCTACACACATACTTGTCCCCTGGGAACCAAGCTACCATATAGTTTCAATTATACTTGAGGGCAGTTTTGAGAGGGGCTTTGTCATTTAGAGCTGCTGTATCCATGTTTCTACATGCTATAAGAATTCTCTGGGTATCTAAATGTTATGTAGAACAACTACTACATTGTCCATGTTTTCCCAAAAGAAAAAAAAAAAGTAAATTTTCCAATTATCAAGGCAGCACAGCACTTGGTATATATCATTATGAAGCTGTTAACAGAAATGCTGCATTATTGTTAGCTAAAAGCCTATTTATCCCTAACGAGCTATTTAAAAAACTAAGGGCAAAATCCTGCTTTCATTTTCACCAGTATAATCCCTTTGCATTTACACTGATTACAAGAAGAGCAGAATACAGCCCCAAAGCCCTGGAATTCGACTTTATAATCTGACACCCATCCGAACCCTAAGTCATTATTCACAAGTAGGGTCCACTTGCTATTCCTTTCTCTACTGTGAATCCTTTTAAAATAAAATTGTGGAAAAAACTAAAACTAAAAGAATAAATAGTTTATCATCAAAAACAGGAGAAAAATATTGTATCTCAAAACTGCTTTGCAGCATAACCATTGATGAGCAGCAACATACAAATGCCAGGAAAGAAGAAAAATCCTCCTTTTAAAAATAGAGCAACTGGCTAGAAGAAAATTAATCCAAGAGGAAGGAAAGTTGGCGCTGAGTATGGCCCTAACTTAATAGGTGCTAATTTAGGTTCTGATTTGATAAAGCACCTAAATAGTACAGACTTAACTTTAGCTGTATTAAATTAGTCACCGGCTGAAAGTCAAGCAAGGGTTTAAGTATTTGTGGAAGCATGGCTTTTAAGTCTGAGATACTTTAACTGAAGTCAAATGTAGTTTTGCTACCAACTTCAGTGGAGCAGGATTATACA